GATTGTCTCTCTGTCCCTCCCCTCTGTGCACATGTTCTTTTTCTCTCAAATAAATAAATCTTTTTTAAAAATGATATTTAGATTATCATTACTAAACATAACCGCTAACACGCTGTCCTGAAGCATCTGCATTTGAAATGCTGCCCAAGTCCAGGGCTAGTTTGAGACCAGCAGTGAGAATTTGTTTTACATGAGTTTAACCAGGCAATGACCTTCCAGAAACAAAGGTCTGCTCCAAGGTGTCTCTCTGTCTCTGCTGCTAGAAACTGCAGTCATCTTGCCTCAATAAAAAACAAATTTAGTTCTACAAGCATCTGTTACAGAGTAGAGGTGATGGCAACTGTAGGAAGGAGCAAGACTGACTCATAGGAAAAGTGTTGGGACCAAAGAGAAGGGATGCCCTCCTGAGGAGCCCAGCTGTACGGGCGCCCTCACATCTCAGGAGGTCTTGCAACACAGAGTGGTCTCTGCTCCTTACAACCCAAAAGAACCCACACAAGCAATCAGGGAGCAACAATGGAATTTCAACCCTAAAAGAAACCTCAGGGAGTGGCTTGCCTACAATGCTCATTTCATGGGTCAGAACTAACTGGTTCAGAATGCTAAGGATCTTGGGGCACCTGGGGTGGCTCCGAGGGTTGAGCATCCTACTTCTGGTTTTGGCTCAGGTCATGATCTCAGGGTCTTGGGATTGAGCTCCATGTCGGGCTCTGTACTCAGTAGGGAGTCTGCTCCAGATTCTGTTTCTCCTTCCTTCTCCCTCTGCTCCTCTCTGTCTCACTTCCTCCTTAAAATAAATAAATCTTTTTATGGAAAAAAAACTAATAAAAATAGTAAGGATCTTGGCCAAAGCCACACAGCTATGCTAGGCTCCAACGTCTGACCCTTGATCTAGATTCTTATACCTTGTCTCCAGTTGGGAGGAGCCTTGGAGCTCCTGGAGAGGAGCTGTCATACCAGTGCTTAGGGCCTCTGGCCTGGCCCCACACAAAGGAGATGGCCACCCCAATCTGTGAGTCTACGGGCTTCGCTGAAAACCTACAGGTAACCGACACCACACAGAACTCAATAAAGATACTAGTCATGATCTCTAGCCTGTGCAAAGCTCTTTGAGCCTGTATCCCTTAGAGACATTTCCTTAGGCTTGGGGCCCTAGACTCAGAGCCTGAGACAAGGATTCTGTCCAAGGGGAATAAGTACTATTGCCAAGTGCTCTCTGGAGAAGGGGAGTGGGAAGTCAGATCAGGTGGCAAAAAGAACCGGTGATGGGGTCTCAGCTGGAAACTAATGTCATTTGGTCCCTCAGGAAGTTCTGAGCACACACTGCACTTCAGAGCTGCCCCCCTGCCCACGTCGGCCTCAGTGGGGGTTGGCTGGGGCAGCCCCACAGGTAACCAGCTATGACCCATTAGCAGCCAACACTGACAACAGCCAGGAAAGGGGATCTGGCATGGCACCAGCAGCATCTGTGGCAGACATCCTGTCACTGGGGCATCATTACAGTGAAGACCTTGAGGCTTCACCATGTTTGGGAGGGGCTCAGCCGGAGGGGAGCGAGGGATCCAGAGGGAGCATAGACACCGTGGAGGAACTGCTCTGTGAACCACCTGCTTCCTCACCCAGGACTGGCCACTTTCTGGGCCTTTCTCTCCTGGAAATACATTCCTATAAAGCCAGGCCAGGGCAGGCACTGCTGGCACACATTCTAGTCCCCAGGATGTGGTGGGGGCTGTGTGGCTGGGGCCCCAGTGCCCAGTGGAGAAGGCATCTTGTCTCTATGCCCACAAGCAGGCCTCAGAGGAATGCCATGTGTCCTTCTTCTCTCTCAGACAGAAGGGTGGACGAATGTCTGAGTAAAAAGGCCTGCCTTGGGGAGGTGCAGAGTGTCTACACACCCGATTGCCTGAAGATCGTAGCAACAGGCCATTTCTGCCTCCGATTCTGGAGTGGGGCATTCAGGACAAGGTCCTCGGTGACTCAGTATTGCTGGTCGGTAGCAGGCGTACTGGTCTACCCACCTGGAACCCACTCACTGCCTTCTCCTTCTGGCCATCCCCCGGCAAACTGCCCTTCCCCGCCCACAGACCCCGAGCTGCAGACCCTCAGTGGCAGTGCAGGCCTGGGCCTGGCAGTCAGATCGCTGCCCTCCACCATGGAGTCAACGCTGCGACTGGTTCAGACCATCAGGGGACGAACCGAGCCTCAGCAGGCAAAAGGCTCCTTCCTGCCCTGCGTGTGAGCTGGGGAGGAGGCTCCCAAGAGGGAGGGAGGGCAGCACCAAAGATGGGCTGAGATTCAGCTGTCAGCATCGGGTCACTACACTTCCGTCCCATGAGCCCACGGTGCCCCATTCTGGCGTGAGTCAATTTGAGTTGAACAAGGGTCCTGCCTGATTCACCCCCAACAGACCCACGTTCCAAAGTCTCCTTCTTTGAGTTACTGCCACTCAGGACCTTCCTTGGCTGTTAGAGACAATTGATACAGCCCCAAATCTGACTCAAGTTGTAGACACAGGGACACCCGGGTGGCTCAGTCGGTTGAGCCTCCAACTCTCAATTTCAGTTCAGGCCATGATCTCGGGATCATGAGACCAGCTCCATCCTCAGCAGGAGTCTGCTTGAGATTGTCTCCCTCCCTCTCCCTCTGGCCCTCCCCTCGGCTCATGCTCCCTCTCTGTCTTTGTCTCTCAAATAATCTTAAAAAGAGAGAAAAAAAGAGTAGGACACAGAAGGAAGATTCTGGGGTGAGCCTTGACCAAGATCAGGGCCTGTGCCTCACCAACAACTGGAGGGAAATCACTCACCCACGTCTCAGCTACCCAGTGGCAGACCTGATATAACTTTGCCCTCCAGCACTTTCTGCTCCAGGAGATTCCTGGGCTCTGAAACCAAGTGGTCAGCTGCCAAATCTACCTTCAGTGGGAGGACAGTGACAAGCTAGGACAGGATGCATCCATGTCGTGCTTTGCAGGGTTTATGCACATACTGACTTGATTCTCACAACTCTGCAGTAGGAGGACTACAGTCACAGATAAGAATAAACTTGGGGAAGACACAGGGCTGGCCAAGGCCCCCCAGCTGGCAGGGGCCGATGCTGGAGCACCGATGGCCATCGGATGGAGTACTCTGAGCAGCCGACCTCTCAGGTAGTGATGGGAGATCACCACGCAGGTTCTCAGCAGGCCTGGCCTCACTCTCACCTGAGCAAGCAGTTGAGGCTACTTGAAGGGGCCCCAATACCCATTACCCGAATCCAAACAGCAGACATAATCCAGACTGGGGGTGTGGGTGGGCCACTAAGCTATTCATAGCTGTGCTGCTGTGGTGTTTGAGTTATTCTTTCTATAGCCTTTGGCCACCATGAAACATAACTCCTTGGTATATGATGGAGGCAGAGCTAGAGGCCACTGCCCTGCTCCCGGCTGAGCCCCAAATGACCACTGCTCACACCAGCTGATGTCGAGAGAACATTTATTCCACATGGTCAGCTCCGCAGTGACCAACGGAAATATCGAGCCTGGACACCTTCACACACGCTCCTGTGTAGCCGTATGGGGGGAGGGGTCCCCTCCTGTCCCACTGCCCCAAGGAGGGAAGGATCTAAGGACTCCTAGGGCCATGACTGCCCCAGGGGAGCGAGCTCATGGCCCAGTGAAATGCACCCATGTGTGAACTTGTGGGCCCTCTCCTCATCCTCACCACCAGCCACCCCACAGCCTCCAGCACTTGACCCATCAGCCAGTCGACAAGTATTTCCTGAGTGTTCTGAGCCCAGGCCTGCGCTGGGCCCTGCTGGGGTTCAAGAAGACACGGCATGCCCCTTGCCCCCAGGGAGCTCACAGTCTAGCTGGAGACTCAATGCACACGCAGACACTCAAGCATAGAAAACCGGATTGTTCAGAGGATGAGGATGGAGGGCCCGGCGGAGAAGAGAGCTCAGCGGGGCAGAGGAGGGGCACATTTCAGCAATCCCAGGGAAGACAGAGAAGGTAACAGCAGGTATGGGCTGCACAGTTACAAGAAAGGGAGGTGAGCTGACAAGCAGCGGAGAAGGGGGGCCCCATCCAGGAGGGCCAAGGATAAGAGCAAGTGGAAGCTTCTGAAGCACAGAGTACCTCCTCTTCCTCTGACCCCACCCCCGCCCAGTGGTTTGTTACTCCAGGACAAGGCATAGGGAAGATGGTCCCTAAGAACCTATGTGCCAAACTGCATGGGAGACAGGACAAGTAAGGTCCCAGGCCAGGAGCTGGGGAGGCCTCTCGATGACCCTGACCAAACCCAGCTTGGCCCTGGGACCTCCCTCCAGACCAGCTCCACTTTAGATTTGATCTAAATAAATCCCATGGCTACAGGCCTCTCCCCACCCCCAAGAGTTTCACTAAATAGAACCTGCACCACAATGTCTGGTTGTCATCAAAAACCCAGCCCAGCCCTCAACGGCCACACCTTTTCAGACGAGTGGTTCATTCTGATGAGGCCAGGGAGCTCCAGGCCGACCTGCTCAGGGTAAAAACCAAAGTCCTGGGATCCTTGGGTGGCAGCGGTCTGGCGCCTGCCTTTGGCGCAGGGCACGATCCTGGAGACCCAGGATCGAATCCCATGTCGGGTTCCCGGTGCATGGAGCCTGCTTCTCCCTCTGCCTATGTCTCTGCCTCCCTCTCTCTCTCTCTGTGTGACTATCATAAATAAATAAAAATTAAAAAAAAAAAAGTCCTCACCCCGTCGCAGGCCTGGCATCCGCCCCTCCGTGTGTCGCACAATCCACCCTCTGGGGACAGAGAAGCTCCTCCGCCAGCCCCAGAGCTGGCAGGCACCAGGCGCGAGGCTCCGTCTTCCTCCCCAGCCGACATCATATCCTGCCAGGCTGAACACCCTGTCCGGCAGGAGACAGCCACACAGGATCCCTCCCCCAGGTAGGCTTTGGCTCAAGCTCCTGCTCACCCCACATCCATGGAAATTCCAGCCTTCCCCTGCCCCCGCCCCCCACAGTGAAATCAGAGCGCAGCTTGTGTGGTGAAAACCAGAGCAAGCACCCCAAGCCAGAGAAGAGCAAACCCAACCCAGAGAGCCTCTGGCAAGGCCTGTGGGAGGGAGGAAAGGTTCCAGAAGCCTGATGCACTGTTAGGCCCTGGAGAAGAAAGTGACTAGAAGGGTCCCCTACTCAGAATTCTTTATTCCTGAACGAGGGAAGGAAGTTCAGCCGGGGGGAGGGAGTAATGCTACTTGTATGGTGGCCCAGACTCTGGGCTCTCGGTCAGGTAAGGAAAGAGTGGCATGTTAGGTCCTGGGGCCAAGAACCTCAGCCTGGAGTCTGGGAGCTCTAAAATTGCTTGTAGATTCTTGTGTCTACGTGGGTATGCATGTTTTCCTGGGGAGAAGGTTCATAACATTTGTGAGATTTTCAAAGGGCTTCGTGCCCCCAAAGTATTAAGAACCATTGCTCTAAAGGCAAGTGAACCCTGCAGGTATGGTTTACACCTGGGGGAAGGCTTTGCCTCTAGAGCCAGGTCTGCTACCGACTTGCTGTGTTCTCTTAGGCCAGTTACTTCCTGTCTCTGGTGGGCCAGACAGGCGCAGAGAAGCCGGCTCTCCACACAGGCATTGTCCCCGCTGCCACATGACAGTGGAAGTCTATGGCCAGGCAGCCACGACGAGCTCTTCTCTCGGCCGTGACTCCCAGCAGGTCGGAGAAGGGGGGGATTTTCCACCAGGGCACAGAACCTGCCTCCAATTCCAGGCTGCACGGGTCCCCTCTGCAGGGCACCTCCCGAGGTAGGTCTTCTTAGGGACGTGTCCTCATGCCAGCGGGCAGGCCCCCGTAGGGCCCCATTCCTAGTCTCTGTGCCCAGATGTGCCTTACACACTGCCCAGAGGTCCTGCCCAATCCACATCTGTTCATGGAGACAAAGAGACCAGGGTCAGGTCTGGGGCTGTGACACGACCCTGCCCAGCCACCCCTCAGCTCCCCCAACTCTGGGGCTAGGCGGGAGTGGTCAGCTGGGCCACCCTGCACTTGTCCAGCGTCTGGAGCCAGTTCTCTCAGCCCCCTACCCAGCACACCAGGATTATCAATCCCATTTACCACCAAGACAACTTGAGTTCAGGACATTCGAGCTCCAGATGTCCCAGGTCCTGGTTGAACCTCTTTATCTCTGCCACTAAGAACTAGGTCTACATAGCAGCAGCCACCTGGTGGCAGGCCGAGGGCCAGTGATTCCCAAGGAGCCACGAAGCTCTAAGGAAGGGCAGTGGGTGGAGACGGGTCTCCAGCACCTAGCAAGGTGGTGGCACAGGCTGGGTGCAGAGCCAGGGCTCTGTGAGTGCAGGTCCCCTCCAGGACCCCAACGCCCTCCCTCCAACCCACTACTGTGGATGCCGTGGCCCGCTCAGGCACCCATGCCACCCAGAGGCCTCACTGCCCAGGATCCTACCACCTGGTCTCTAGTCACATTCCCACCAGTAAGAGATTCTTGCAGGCAGTGCCACACAGATGAAAGGTCTTGGGGGCCAGGCCTGCACTGTTATAACACTGAGTACTGGGACACCTGGGTGGCTCAGCGGTTGAACGTCTTCCTTCAACCCAGGATGTGATTCTGGAGTCCTGGAGTTGAGTCCCACGGTAAGCTCCCTGCATGGAGCTTGCTTCACTCTGCCTATGTCTCTGCCTCTCTTCTCTGTGTGTGTCTCTCATGAATAAATAAATAAATCTTAAACAACAACAACAACACTAAATATTAAGTGACATTTGGAGTAAGCTTAGGTGAGCCTCAGTTTCTTCATCTGCTAAATGGCTGAAGAAGCCTGTGCTCTGGAGCACCAACTTGGAATCAGGGGTCATGGGGCCAGTCCTGGCTCTCCCCTTGGTCAAGCCCCATAGTTCAGCGCCTCATTTTCTCTTTCCCAGATGACCCCACAACCCTCCAGGCTCCTTGCTCATCCCACTTTGATCTGTCCTCACAGGGCTTCCATTTCCCTTTGAACCGTATGTCTGAGATCACTGTGCTCTTCTCACTAAACATCTTGGTGTCCTTTCCCCCTGGCCACAAAATCCTCTGTATGGCAAATGTGAGCCTCCTCTATCTGACCCCTGCCTCAGAAACCCTCCACCTTTGCTCTCCCCAGAGCACCCCTATTCATCCCCAGAACCCAGTTCAAGCCATCAGACTGCCTTGGGTGATACCTCCCAGAGCACTCTACAGTATGTCCCCTAGGATGGTCTGCATTACCAGGCCAAGTGTCACCCTCCAGGCTTTGTGTCTGTGCCTCCTGCCAAGAGCATGGCACCGTGCCTGGCACACCAGGGTGCTCAATAAATACTTCTGGACCAGTGACATCACCCTCTTTTACCTGGTAATGTTTAACTACAATCCTTACAATATCCCAAAGAGAAGTTCCATGTTAAACCCAACTCACAGAGGAGCAAACTGAGCCATGAAGTGAAGTGACTTCTCAAGTACACCAGATAGTACACGTTGGAGCTAGGAGACCTTGGGGGCTGAGGTGGCCCAGGCATTGTGGAGAGTGGCCCTCTCCACGGGGCTCCCCGCTCTGACATTCTGGGAATGAAGATCTAGGAAGAAGCTAGTCACAGACCCAGAGCCCAGTGCTCCCCACCTCCCACGCCTGTCCCCCCCAGCCCCTGCTCAGGCCCAAGAGGGGCTCTGGATGGCCCTTGGGTCTCACCTACTCTAGGCCGGGTGAGCCTGAGGACGAAAACCAGCGCGGGGGCAGCTGTGGGTGGCCAGCCGGAGGGTGGAGAAGACTCGGGAGGAGGTGGCCCAAGGCGGGCCACGGCCCACTCTTTCAAGACCCCAAGCCCGCCCTCCTGGTCTCCGGGGATCGCATCCAGAACACGGGCCGCAGCCCCACGCCGGCTCCAGGAGTCCCGGGCGCGGCCCTGGGGCAGGACACTGGCTGCGGCGGCAGGTCCGGAGCGCATCATAGCACGCGGCCTAAATGGGCCGCCTGGCCGTCGGGGCCGTGGCCATGGCTGCGCTGGTGGGTCTTGAGCGAGCCCTCGCGCGCGAAGCTCTTGCCGCAGCGCGCACAGAAGTAGGGCCGCCGCTCCCCGAACACTCCGGGGCGGCGCGGGTGCGGCGCGGGCATGCGCGCGTGGGTGCGCTGGTGGTTGAGCAGGAAGCGCGGCTCGCGGAAGCAGCGGCCGCACTGTGCGCACTGGTGCGGCTTCTCGCCGCTGTGGATGCGCTGGTGCGTGAGCAGGTTCTGCTTGAGGCTGAAGCAGCGGCCGCACTCCGGGCAGGGGAAGGGCCGCTCGCCGGTGTGCGTGCGCTGGTGCACCTCGAGGTTGTGCTTGACGCTGAAGGCCTTGCCGCACTCGGGGCACACGAAGGAGGCCGCGCGGCCCACCCCGGCGTGCGCCTTCTGGTGCCGCACCAGGCTGGGCTGCTGCGAGAAGGTCTGGCCGCACAGTGGGCAGCGGTGAGGCTGCTCCTCCGCGGGGTGGTGGATGACCAGGCCTCGCTCGTCCCCCAGGCCCTCCTCCCCGTCCCCCGCAGGGGACCCGCCCCCGAGGACGCCAGCTCTGTCATGGGCGCTTCCAGCCGCAGTCACCAGCCCCTGGGGAGGCAGAAGCAGAGAGAGGAGTCAGGGGAGGGTCGGGGGGTCCGAGGATCAACCGGCCCCCAACCTCAGGGAGGACATTGCAGGGACTTCCCGCAACTTCATCTGCCCCTCAGTCTTGTACAAGCCAGTGCTTCCCTGCCGGAGTGCCCTTCTCTTCTACCACTTGATCACAACCTTCTCAAGTGCCACCTCCTCCCAAAAGCCTTCCCTGACTCCTCCAGCCGTCCTGAGCCTTGGGGCCCAACCTCAAGCCCTCAGTCATCACACTGAATGCATGCCACCTGGGTCGTGCCCAGGGCCTCCAGGCATGCCTTAAGGACAGAGTGGTCTCCTTCCTTTAGCCCCAACACCAAGCACCGCACCTGCCAAAAGCAATCACTATATCCTGTTGGGCAACTAAAAGAGGTTTCTAGTATTGGGAGTCAGCTTGTGCCTGGATAGGTCTTAACTCTCCCACCAGAATCTCAAGGGGGGGGGGGGACGTATCCCCAATTTGGAGGGAAGGATGGGGTCACCGGTGGTTCAAAGACATTTTTGAAAAGCTGAAAAGAAACAAAACAAAAACCCTGTAAACTTGAAAGTAATCTCAAGTAAACATTAAAAGCAGCAGCTCTTTGTTTATCAGAATGAGGCTTGCCACTGAAACGGAGTGTGAACTCCCAGGGGCTGGTCTCAGCTAGATTCCTCTTGGCATCCCCAACATACCAAAGCCTGGCCAGATCCTCAACAAACACCCAAGTTCAGCTCCATCCCATTCATGCTGGTTCTGCTGAGTATCCTCTTCCCCAGGGCACGGTGTTCCTCATATAAATTGTTTCCCATTGTCCTCACAGCAACCCTGGGGAAGCAGCAGCAGTTCTTACTGAGCCCTCCAGTATAGATGGGGTAACTGAGGTCAGCTTACTTGCCCAAGGTCACACAAGGTGAGCCAGGACTGGGCCCTAAGTTTCCTGACTCACTGTCAAAAGCTGTTCTCAATGTAGCAGCTGCTCACCAACTAAATGCCCCTCAAAATGCACATGCACACAGACACAAGACCACCGCAGAGGCATAGACACCCAAAGCACCATGGCTCCTGCAGGGCAGAGTCTGCTGCCATTACCTCCATGCCCCCCAGAAGACCTAGGGCCCCTGCTCCTGCAGAGCACTGGGGCCTGCTCCGGAGCTGGCTGAGCTGGCACTCCCCTGCAGTCCTCCACCCCCATCAGGGACCTAGACCTCCACGCAGGCCTTCTCCACACTTTCAGAAATCACTGCTCACTACAACCTCAGTCGATCAATCTGCAGAGTGGGATCTCAGAGACATCCCCTTTGTCTCCCCCTACCCTCAGGCCAGGGTGGAACCCACACCGCCTCCCACCCCCCAGCAGGGGACCGTCCTCCTGGCAATAGACCCCACCCACAAAGCTTTCCCCAGCCGGCGGCATTGACATTTGCAGAGGCAGACCATCACCGTCCCCTTGGCCAATCTCAGCCTGGCCTTGTCTCTGGGCGGCCTCCTGGCTCTCCCCAGCTACCTCCCTGACTAAGGCCTCCGACTACGGGGAAGGTCTAAAGCGACGGCCCCTTTGCCTCCCCCAAGTTTCTGCACCCCCTCGCGCACTCACAGCCCAGGCTGCGCCCTTGCTCCTCCGGTCTCCAGCAGTGGCTCCCTCCTCTAGAGTCTGCGCTGCCCAGCGCAAATACGGTAACTCTCCTGCAGCGACTCCCGCGCCCCTTCTCCCTCGCCCCCATCAGGACGGCCCGCCTCCCGCACCGCTGTTCTCACCAAATAGCTGCATTCATCAAAACCGCTGACCCCACCCACCCGACCTCCGCGCACAACCGTGTCAACTCCCGCGGCCGGAGCGACCCCGGAGAAATATGGTAAACTCTGCGTCGCCACCTCGCCCCCCACGAAACTACGTAGGCCTCCCACCCGGCTGCCGCAACCCACCTCACCCCGCGGCGAGCCCCGGCCCCCTCGGGGCGTGGATGCAACCCACCCCCAGCGCCCGCAGCGCCCCCGGGAGCACCACGCAACCCTGGATAAATACGTAATTAAGTCGCGGCCTCCCCGCCTCCGGAAAGGGCCTGCGCGGCTCCCGGCAAATACGGTAGCGCCCGCAGTGACCCGCCCCCAAGGGTCCGGCCCCGGCCCCGGTAAATACGGTAATCTCCCGCCGCGGCCCCGGCCCCGGCCGCCCGGGACTCACGTGGCGCCGCCTCCCGAGCCCGCCGTCTCCTCCGCAGCGCTGCAGTCGCCGGCGTCGCCGCAGACGCACAGCAGCCCCGTGAGGCTGGGAGGTCTAACTCGCCGACGACCTGGCTGGCGGAAGGAGGAGCGCTGCGAGCGCAGGCAGGAGACGGAACCGGGTCGCGAGCCGAACGCCCCGCCGGGCGGGACCCCCCAACACCCCCGGCCCCAGCCATTCCCATTTCGGGATCCTCCGAGGGCCCAAGCCAGCGGTTAGAGCCTCTCCCTCACCCCCCTCATCCTAAAGCCACGCCACCCTGGCCAGGCCCACGGACTGCCCCCAGAGCCCGGGAAGCAGGGTGCGGGGGCGCTGGCCGCAGAAGCCTTTCCCTGCGACAAAGGGCAGGGGGTGCGGGCAGGGGCTCCTGCCGCGAAGCCTCTCCGAGCCGGCTGGCATGCGTGGGAGACCACCGTCCGAGGGGCAGAGTCCGGGTTGCCCCAACTAACCGGGCCTCCCCCGCACCCTCTGGCCGGCTTTATGCCACCAGGACTGCTGGGGACACGGAAGAAAGGACACTTCTACCATCCCCGCCTCCTCAGAACCGGACCCATGCCGATCAAGCCCAAGATACGCCATAAAAGAGAACACCTCTAACACCCCTGTGGACACGGCTGCCCTGAATTCCAGCTTTCAAACGTCCTTCAATAATAATAATAATAATAATAATAATAATAATAATACCCTTTCCCTACACATTACTTGGCTTTTTACAAAGCTTTTTCCCATATATTATCTCGTGGGAGCCTCCCAATAACCGTGTGCCATCTAAGTTGTATAGGTGTCATTATCCTATTTTATAGATGGGAAAATAAAATAAAATCGAAACAGAGCGGCTTCCCCAGAGACTGGCAGCTCTAAGTGGCCCAGCCCAGATGGGAAGGGCAGGCCCACCACCTGGCTCACTCTCCCTGGCACCCCTCTGGTACCTAGACACCACCACCCCCCCAACAGAAGCAGGGTGTGATGATCATGACCGGAAATAATCTTGTCCAGAGTAAAAAAGTGCCTCTGATTTTACACTTCATAGATACAGAAACTGAGGCCAGAAGGGAAAGTGCTAGAGGAATATGAAGTAGCCTTTTCCTCTGTGGTGCCTGCTAGCTGCCAGGTGGCAGACCAGGCGGAGCTCCTTACAACAGATGGTGGATGTGGCTGCTGGGGTGGCATGCCCCTGAGGAGGGGCCCTGGGAGACACAGGCCTCCCAGCCCCATGAGGCGCCTCCCCTCCAACCCCTCCACAGGTGTTCTGTGTGCCTGGCCTGGGAACTGCAGAATTCCAGGTGGGGTCCCCCTGAAAATAAATTCAGTCCCTATTCTCAACACCAGACCTGAAGATCAGGCCTGCCTGCTTTCACATCTCACTCTACAGACGACTCTATCCCAGCAGATCTGCCTCTGGCCTCTCCGGGACCTGCCCCACCCCACCCCCACCCCACCCCACCCCATCCTTGCTGCTCCTGTGTCAACTCACTGAGCTAAGTGGGACTTCCTGAGTTAGACATCCCAAGGAGATTGGTATTTAAAATTGAGGTGCCAGGGAGGGAATTCTGGGAAGCCAAAAGAAATGGATCCACCAGGGCAGAGGTTCCCATGGCATTGACAGAAGGATCCCCTAACTCCTGATGACCTACACCCACACCCTGCCTAGGTGCTGGAGCATTGCTCACAGAACAGCCATACCTCCCACCTCTCCAGCTGCTGTTGCAGAAGTTGCCACCTGCCAGAGCCACCAGCGTTTATCCCTTTTGTGGGCTACAGGAGAAATGAGGACACTTAGTCAATGACCAGGTTTTTCAGAAGCAAAACCAACAATGTACCTGAGGATGTCACCCATATTTTTAGCAGCATTTTCTAAGTAAGCTGTGCCAAAGTGGCAAGGCACACAGCTGGGGGACAGGGGTGGGAGGGAAGCAATACCACCCAAAACCCATCCCGTCTCAGTGGGCAATGCCAAGGGCCAGGGACTTCCAGAGGCCTCCATTCTCTGCTCTGCCAATGCTGAGTCACTTCATTTCTCTAGTTTCGTACACATGCAACCCCACCCCACCCCCGACACTCACACATCTCCCCCCACGGTTCCATATGCTGTGATGAACACACAGAGTGGAGATGTGGAAGCTTTCTGCAAATGAAGCCATGCTTCTTCCCACAGGCGGGGCCAGTGGCTGGCATGGCAGCCACCATCACTCCACAAGGCTAATGTGACAGCTGGACATTGGACCCTAACAGAGGCCTAGGTTGCTCACAGCCGAAGTGTCCCAAAGAACAGCTGGCTCGTGGCCCCCTGTGGGTAGAGCTGTGGACAGCTGAGAGGAGCCTTGCACCATATCCCTCCCACATACCGGGTGCATGCTAGATGCACAGTCACCCCATCTCCTGGAATTGGACAGCGATCACTACACATCCCCTCCCAAAGCATCTTGTGCTGACTTCAAGTTGGGAAGCCCCTTTCTTTTCCCACCACGTTGTGAGCTTTGAAGGGAGACACTGTGTTTTCAGCATCTCTGCATTCCAAGTGCACAGCGTCTAATGACCCCTCAGCCAACCTCGGCTGAATGAATGAATGCAGCTCTCTAAGCCACACCTGGTAGCCATGGAGGGAAGAGAGGGACCCACGCACAGCCAGCGTGTGATGTAATGTAAGGAATGAGGGGTTGCAGGCACAGCTCCAGCTCCAGCACCGAGGGCTGGGACGCTCTGCTGACACCCAGCTGGAGATGGGCTGTGGGTACCGGGTCTCATCTGCTCCAAAGTTCTCTTTCCTTGTCATTGAAACCCAAGATGTGACCTATTCGGCCACGCCCTTAAACTTGCAGCTGGCCTATTTAACACAGATGGAGACTTCCTCTTTATGGGATGGAGCTCTGGGGAAAACCCTGTTCTTCTCTTCCCATAGTAAACTTCCACTGGTAAAAATGCTGCATGCGTAGCCCTTAACAAACATGGAGTTTATTAAAATAATGATTGTAACTGCTATTTATCAGGTGCTTGCTGTGTGCCAACCACTATACTACATGCCTTACAGAGGTTACTTGCACAAGGTCCCATAGCCTAATGGTAAAGCCAACATTCAGCCCCAGAACTATCTGACTCTATTCACTGCTCCCAACAAAAGAAAGCTCTTTCTAGATTTGGGTCGTGGCTGGGAGGGAGACAACATTTCTACTTCTCAATAGGACCATATTCCTAGAGCTACACTGTCCAATAGCCACATAAGGCTATTTAAATTTATTAAAAGAAGATTGTAGAGGCAGCCCTGGTGGCGCAGTGATTTAGCGCCACCTTTACCCCAGGACCTGATCCTGGAGACCCAGGATCGAGTCCCACGTCGGGTTCCCTGAATGGAGCCTGCTTCCTATGTCTCTGCCTCTCTCTCTCTCTCTCTCTCTCTCTCTCTCTGTCTCTCATGAACAAATAAATAAGATCTTTAAAAAAATAAAATAAAATAAAGAAAATTGTAAATTCAATTCCTCAGCCTCCCAAGCCACATTTTAGGTACTCAGTAGCCTCATGTGGCTGGTGGCTATGGTATCAGACGGCTCAGTTATAGAACATTTTCATCATCACAAAAAGTTCTAGTGGACAGTGCCTGTCTAGGGCACCCACCCCCTCCATCTGAGTAACCTAGGAGATACCACTCTCTTTTTAACCCCAGGGACAACCTACAGGATACCATTCTCTTCTCTGCCATGATCCAGTAAAAGCAGTGACATGTGAGAATGTACTATTTTTGGCTCCAACACTCCTCTTGCCAAAAGGTCTATATATATATATATATATATATATATATATATATATATATATATAGCCTATATATGGATTTGGCATATACACACACACACACACATATGTATGTATATGTATTTTTTTTTTTCCTACCAAACTACTTAGAGAATAAAAGGAAAAGGTCTCAGCAGCATCCCCCCAAGTCCTACCAAGTCCCTGCTGGTCCCACTCTCTCCCTGTTGTTACCCACTGGCCTCCCAGCCTGTTCTCCATTGGGCGGCTCCTCAGGGCTTGGGCTGGGCAAGCAGGAAGCCCAACCCTCCCGAGGAGGCTGCCGGCTTGCTGGTCCACTCGAAGCTTAGGTTGCTTGCCCAAGAACCAGCATTTTCTGAGTTCCTTGATCATTTTTCTTAACTCCCAGCCGGCTAACAAAGAACCCAAGGATGACATGGGCATTCCGGGAACCTCAGCCCCACCAAGCTCGTCTGGCCTGTTAGAAGCTTGGCCATGGGTCCCCATCACAGACCTACACTTACCTGGAGGCGGACAGGACAGAAGTCCTTTAAGATCCTGATTTTCACATGGCTGTCTCCTGTTCCCCTGCAAAACCCTTTTATCTTGGCAGCTCTAGAGTATTGGGGATTGCACACCACTAAGACAGATCCAATCTTGTCTGATTGTATGGCATACCTCCTCCTAAGTACTCCCTGGCCTAGTTTTATTATTTTAAAATGAAGGGAGATGAAAAATTGAGGTTGACAATGCAAGGCCACCCTTGGAGAAGCCTGTGATTGTGGCAGTGAAGGGCTTGGCTAACAGGAGGCCTAGGGCCTTGGTTTGTAACATGACCCGGGTGGGCCAGTCCCACTGCAACATCCCCCTGCCCTGTATCACTGTCCTGCTGTGGTTGCTGATGTCACAGTGAGGCTAAATGACATAATGAACAAGAAAGCTTTAGTAAGGGAGCTGGGGCTGGGACACTTTACTCGAGAGCCGACTGGACAGGTTGTTCTGAGCTCCATGTGTATTAGTGATTTTCCAGGAAGGTTCGTGATCTCCTCAAGGAGAGGGACTGTGACTGCTATTGGCCGAATTTGTCCCCCTCCTAATTCATATATTGAAGCCCCTGCCCCCCAATGTGTTGGCATTCAGAGGTGGGTCCTTTGGGAGGGAATTTAGATGGGGTTTAGATGAGGTTATGAGACTGGGATCTTCCCGATGAGATTAGGGTCCTTAAAAGAAAAAGAAGAGACACCAGAGGGCACCCCTCCCCCCCACCCTTGCCTCGCCATGTGGGGGCACAGAAAGAAGATGGTCATCTACAAGACAGAAAGCGGGCCCTCACCAGGCACTGAATCTGCCAGACTGTGAGAAATAAATGTCCCCCAAGCTGTGTTGACTTTGTTATTATGGCCAAGCTGACTAAGACAATGGCTTATTCATTGCAGCATCCTGGAAGTTTGGTACAGTGCATGGCACACAGTAGGCTTGCTTAGTGAACCAGTGTGCCATTCCCTGACCTGGTCAGTGGGGCATACCTCTCAGTAATTCTTCACTCTAATGGATGTGGCCCTGTACCCCCATGACCTGAAGCACCCATCTGTGAGGATCAGTCATCTTGGGTTAGCCAACAAACCTCATGAATGTGCACGGGGAAGCAAGCAGAGATTAGGTCTCATTAACCCCAAGTCCTACCAACACAGCTGTTGGATTTGGCTTGATCATTAAACAGAGGCCATTTGTGGACAACACCCTCTATTGAACACAAAGTCCCACCTGACAGATCTTGTGTTTGCCTGTACCACCTCTCGGGCATCTGATCCCACAGGGCCCCAGGGTCTGGCAGGTCCGTCCTTGTAGACAGCAGCTTTCCAATGCAGGAGTGGTACTCTGGGATGCCTTCCTGGAGGAGGCGGGCTTGCTTGAGTTGGTCTCAGGCTTTGCTAAGTGGTAACATGGAAAGGGCATGAGCAAAGGGCCCATGCTCAAAGTGGGTTTTGCTGAGATCCAGGGCACTTGGCCTCTCTGAGCAGGGCAGGCTGGGAGAGGAGTTGTGGGAGGGGGCAGGCATTCCAGGAAGGTAGGAGAGCACCTAGGGCCTAGAAAAACCCCGCTGGACCCTCCCATAGGTGGCAACAACGGGCACAGATTGCCCAGTGGGAGAGTTCACAGCAGGGGTCCTGATGGAAGACCTGGGCAAGGGGTGGGCAGCATGGCTGAGCACTAACTATTCCTGGCGCTGTGTTACCCAGGTAAACTGGATCACCTCCATAGGTTTTTCTGTGATGCTACAATAATTAGGGCCCCTGCCAGATGAAAGGAAGGCAACAGAATCTGAGAAAGTGGTGACCAGAAGTCAGGTGAAATCCGGCAGCTCCTGGAGAAGTTAGCAGGCCCAGAAGGAGGCCCCCCTCATTTTGCTCCCACCTCCGGCTGTCCAACTCTAGTACCCCAACACCCACCTCTCTGCAATTCCCTGCCCTCCTATAGGAGGACACCAACCAAGGCCACAGGCCCAGGCTGGAGCCCTGGGTCCTTCTGTCAGCGCCAAGGCCCCAGCACCTTGCTTTGGAAGGGACCTCTGGGGGACGGGGTAGAGTTTGAGGAGGGTAAGTGGGGAGATATATTGATTTGGAGAGGGCAAGGAATAATGCTGTCCAGGCCCAGCAAGGACTAGGCACGGGGAGTTGCTATGCTCGTGGCCAAAGCTCTCCATCCTGGTCCCGGGGCGGGGGAGCAGCTGGATGTTCCAGAGCACACACAGACCTGGAGTTCCAAAAGGGCGGCTGACAAAGGACAATGAGACCACGTGAGACAGTCAATCCTTCATTTTTCTCTTCTGTGACACTGGCATTGATAAAGGCCCAAGTTGGTGCCGGCCATGGGGAGTGCCCAGGACCACCAAGTAGGAGCAGCACACGTGGTTGTGTCCTGCTGCAGGCCCCTCCCCAAGCTACCACACCTCAGCTGCCACCACCCCTCTTGTACCCCAGTCGGACCACCACACACACACACCAATCCTAAGGCCCCATCCACCATGACTGCACCCCTGGCTTTGGGGGCAGTCATGGTTGGGAAGGACCAGGGAACTGTTCACTCCCTCCAAACATACACACTGAAGGGCCAATAAGTGTGGGCTCTGGGACTAGGCCTGCCCCTCCTCAGCCACTGGCTGGCTTCTGTCCTTCTGTGGCTGAGTATGTTATCTGGCCATCCCGCAGCCTGCCCCGACAGGCTGCTGCCACAGATGCTCAGTCCAGCCCCTGGGCCACTTCAAATAGGGAAGCCCCTCCCGGAGCCTGGCAGCCTCCTCACTGGGGGCCTAAGGATTGCACTCCCGGGTCCCAAGGCCCCTCAGGCACAGGCAGGCTCCAGAGTGAGGGCTCTTTCATCTTACCTCCTCCCTCGGCCCACCCTGGGGCCTTTACCTGTCCCCTTTGGGAGGCTTCTAGAATTCTGTTCTCTAGCCTTGGGGGCCTTGGGGATATCACCCGTTCCCAGGGTTTGACCCCTAGGGGTTGTAGAAACCCCCATTCAGGCCACACACACACCCCCACCATCCCCTCCCGCCCCCCACGAGTCTGCCCGGGGTCGGGCACGCTAAAGCGCCTGGTCCTTGGCGCTGGGGGTGGGCGCCAGGGCCCCCCGGTGCACGCGCTGGTGCTTGAGCAGGTGCTGCTTCTGGCTGAAGCCGCGGCCGCACACGGTGCACAGGTAGGGCCGCTCGCCCGTGTGGTTGCGCCGGTGCCGCGTCAGGTTGGGCTTCTGGCTGAAGCGGCGGCCGCACTCGGGGCACGGATAGGGCCGCTCGCCCGTGTGGATGCGCTGGTGGATGGTGAGCGCCGACCACCAAGAGAAGCTCTTGCCGCACTCGTTGCAGATGAACTGGCGGGGCTCGCCGGGCCCCCCCAGGCCCGCCCGCGCCCGCCCCCACGGCACAGCCCCCAGGCCCCGGGCCGGCTGGGGGTCCTGAGGCTGTGCCGACAGGCCCGGGGGCGCCTCGGCCTGCGGCTCAGAGCGTGGCGCCGCATCTCGCACGGCCTGCCCGGGGCGCTGGGGCTCGGCGGCGGGGGCGGCGGGGGCGGCGGGGGCGGCGTGCGCGCGCTGGTGGGCCCGCAGCGCTGCGCGGCTCGGGCAGCTCTGGCCGCAGCTGGGGCAGCGCGCCGCCTGGGCGCCCGGCAAGTGCGTGCGCTGGTGCTTGAGCAGGTGCTGCTTCTGGCGGAAGCTGCGGCCACAGTGCAGGCAGGGGTGCGGCCGCTCGCCCGTGTGGTTGCGCAGGTGCCGCGTCAGATTGGGCTTCTGGCTGAAGCGGCGGCCGCACTCGGGGCACGGGTAGGGGCGCTCGCCCGTGTGGATGCGCTGGTGGATGTTCAGGGACGACCACCACGTGAAGCTCTTGCCGCACTCGTTGCAGATGAACTGGCGCTGCTCGCCAGGACCCGCGGGGGTGGTGGCGGCCGCGGCGGCAGCGGTTGCGGCCCGGGGCCCCGCCTGGCGCCACCAGCCCTGGCAGAGCCCCAACCAGGCCCACTCGGGGCGGCCCCGCGGCGGCCCAGGCCGCAGGCGACAGCTCCGGCGGGTGGCGGCGTCCCGCAGCAACTCCTGCAGCCCAGCGCGGGCGCCCTGGCGGTCCCGGGCGTGCGCACGCTGGTGGATGCGGAGGCCCACCTGGTGGCGGAAGCAGCGCGCGCACTCGGGGCACGAGTGGGTGGCGGGCCGCGAGTGGGTCTTCTGATGCTTGAGCAGGTGCTGCTTCTGGCTAAAGCGCCTCGCGCACTCTGGGCAGCAGAAGGGCCGCTCGCCCGTGTGGTGACGCTGGTGGCGCGCCAGGTTGGGCTTCTGGCTAAAGCTCTTCCCGCACTTGCCGCAGAGGTACGGCTTCTCCCCGGTGTGGGTGCGCTGGTGGATCTTCAGGGACGACCACCAGCTGAACCTCTTCCCGCAGTCCAGGCATACAAAGTGACCCTCGCCAGCAGAAAGAGCCCGGCCTGCCAGACCCCTGGCCGGCTCAGTGGGAGGAGCCCACCTTGGGCCCCCGGTCTCCTCCTGTCCCCCCAAGGCTCGGGGCTTCCCCATGGTCTGGCATGGTGCCAGGGCCAGATGCTGCTGGAAAATGTTTTCCTTATCCTTCTCGGAAAGCACAGCCTGAGGCACCAGTGTCTGCAGCAGCCAGTCTGGCTTCTCTTGCTTGATCTTCATCACCGGCCCATCTCCTGCCAGAGGCAAAGGGAGAGAGGACGAGGAGAGTCACTCACTGCGGGGCCTGGGTGGGGGTGGGGGTGGTTGGAGAGGAAGAAATGCTGGGAGGGCAGAGCATAGAAAACGCGGCAGGTGGAAAGGATGCAGAAGGAAGCGTGTAAGAGGACTGGAGGCAGGAGGGAGGAGGGCAGGAAGGTAGAAAGGCCAGTAAGACAAAGGCAGGTTGGGATATGGAGAAGAAGTGCAAGAAAGGAAGAGAGGCTGCTGTTTGGAGGCCGCCCCTCCTGCCCTGCCTTCTGCACCTGGAGGCCCAGAGATACAGCGAAGGTCTTCCCACCCAGGGAACAAGCAGAAAATGGCCAAGCCTCAAAGTGTTTCATTCTAAGAGGAGCCATGTGCTGGGAGCTTGCTAAGTGAGTGCACACCCAGTCCCTCAGTGGTGGGGTGACCAAGGTCCACTTCATCACCAGGCTCTCGGTGGCAACAGCCATGGTGCCTGCACACCTCACCTTCTTGGACCTTGGCTGTTTGGCAACTTCACCTTTCTTCAACAGAACCAAGAACAAGAAAGAATGCTACAGGAGTGCTTGATCCCTCTTGTGCATGGACAGAAGCCATGATGGAAGAAGTCTGCTACAGACACTACACACAGACTGTAGGATCCCACTTACATGAAGGTCAAAAGCTGGCAAAACTAATGGATGAGTTAGAAGGCAGGATAACTCCTGGCCTATGGAGGCACTGCGATGGGAAGAAGGCCTGAGTGGGGGAGGATGGGGACAGAGGGAGAGCCAGAGACAGAATTTTAAGTAGGCTCCACGGAGCCAGACACAGGGCTCCATCTTATGACCCTGAGACCATGACCCCAGTGAAATCAAGAATCGGAAGCTTAAGGGACAGAGCCACCCAGCCGCCCCATTGTTCTTTCTCTTCATCTGGGTGCTGGCTTCATGCACATGTTCACTTTATAAGAATTTGTAAGAACTTGTGATCTGTGCACTTCTGTGTTATACTTCAACCAAAAGTTTATATTCAGCAAAAAGTAGGTGAAATAAAACAGCTGTGAACAAAAAGGAGAAATTCTAAATAAGTTCTGACAATAAAAAGACAACAAAATAAACCCAAGGGGGGCACCTGGGTGGCTCAGTGGTTGAGCATCTACATTCAGCTCAGGTCAAGATCCTGGGGTCCTGGGATGGAGTCCTGCACCATCTGCTTGTGTCTCTGCCTCTCTCTGTGTCTCTTACTCTCTCATGAGTAAATAAATAAATAAAAATAAATAAACAAACCCAAGGGAAGTAGGAGGAAGGAACTAATAGACAAAAGCAGAGACCACAGGGTAAAGGGAACAGAGAAATAAAAAGGATTCTGAAAATCCTAAAATCCTAATTAATGCATAAATGTATCATTTTGAAAAATCTATATATAATGGATGATTCTGTGAGACAAAATAAATTAACAAAACGAACTCAAAAGGTTTAAAAAAAATGTCCTAAAAGAGACAGAACAGAAAGCTAGCGTTCTACCTCAAAAATGGGCAACTGTAAAAACAGGTTCTACTAAAATTTCAAGGGAAGGTTTGTCCGCAGCTTACATAAACTATGACAGTAACTGGGAGGGGAGACAGCCCACAAGCTAGCATGATCCAGAGTCAACAAGACAAGGGTACAGCAGGCAGGAAATTATAGGTTTAGCGTTTGAAAGCAGACACCAAAAACAAGCAAAAAATATTGGCAAAGCAAGTTCATCGGCATCAAAAGAACAACATAGAATGACCTTGCTGGGATCTTCCCAGCAAAGATGGCTCAATATAGTTCATAACACTGACTTTCTAAACAGGAAAAAACCTTACATAATCTCAATACATGTAAAAAAATCTCATATGATAAAGTCCAACATCATTTCTGGAGGGAGAGGAGGAAGAAGGGATGGAGAGAGGGGGAAGGAAGCTCTCGGTAAACCAGGCATATAGGAAACACTCTTAGGCAGACAAAGAAGCTATTCTAGAACCTGCAGTTATCTTATAACCAAAGGCATGGGATTGGAATACCGTTCAGGTTAGGAACAAGATGATGCTCACCATCACTGCCACTCTTCAACATTGTCCTTGAGGAACTAGCCAAAGCAGAGGGGGAGAAAAAAAATATATATATAAATATTGGAAGGGAAAAGCGTCATTTGCTGATAACTATTAACACAGAATGTACAAGAGAATATACTGACAAAATATTAGAAATAAGAGTTTCGACAGGGTGCCTGGGTGGCTCAGTTGGTTAAGCTGCTACTCTTGATTCCGCCTCAGGTCATGATCTCAGGGTGCAGGGATGGAGCCCTGCATCAGGCTCTGCACTCAGCAGGGAGTCTGCTTCAGGATTTTTCTCACTCCCTCTGCCCCTCCTCCCTGCCCCCCACCCATCAAATAAATAAATCTTAAAAAAAAAAAGTTTCAGCAAGTTTGCCAGATACAAAAACAAATAAAAATTTGTAACTTTAATAAAATAACGGGCTTGATACACAGGCCAGATACACATACAAAACTTATATAAAGGAAACTATTAAACATTATTGAAAGGATAAAGAAAGTGTAACTAAAAGGGCAGATACATCATACTCCTAGATGAGAAGGAAGGAAGCTCTTCACTCCAAAACAATGCTTAAATTCAGTGTAATCCTAATTCACTGAATTATAAAATTTCTGATGTGCATAAATCATCCAGAAAATTCTAAAAATGAGCAAGGAAGAATTTGGCTTAGACAAAATGGAAAGCTGAAATACTAGCACTGCACGCCTATGAGAACAGGCAAAACCCACAATGCCACCAACACCGAATGCTGGTGAGGACAAGGAGCCCCAGGGACTCTCATTCACTGCTGTGGGGGCTGCAGAGCAGTACAGCCACTTTGGAGGACAGTTTGGCAGTTTCCAACAAAATGAAACGTACTCTTAGGGCCCAATCATCACTCCCTCCCCTGAGTATTTTCCAAAAAGATTGAAAACTTCTGTCTGTACAGAAATCTGTACACAGATGTTTCCAGCACCTGGAAATTACCTAGGAGAACAAGTGCACCTGTGTGTGTGTGTATGTGTGTGTGTGTGTGTGTGCAGGCGCAAGCTGAGGCAGGAAGTAAGTCAGACTTCTTGGAGAACAATTTGACAATGCTTATTAAAATTATAAATGTAGCGGAACCTCTACTTTCTCTACCCAACAGTTTCACTCTGGGTGTTCATCCTAATAAATACATAGGAGCGTACAGAGGAATGTCCACAAATATTTACTGCAGAGCTATTGGTAATTAGCAAACGCTGGAGAACAATCTCATTTACTGTTAGTAATCGTCACACAAAATGATCACTCCCTTCAGAATATGGAAGAGTATGCGGCAACTTAAAAAAATGCTTAGCTAAGAGCCGTCTATACGCTGATGTGAAGATTGTCAAAACATTTTAAGATAAAACAAAAACCAAATTGAAAAACAATGATCAGTCAGTCGTCTGACCCAATTTATGAAAACTACAACTATACCTCTCTATGTACAAACATGCACGGGAGGATCTGGGGCAAAGCATGACGGTGGGCACCCTATAGATGATGCAGACAATCCAAGGACTAGAGGGGAGAAGTCAAAGGGGACCCTCACTTTATCTGCATTCTTTGAATTTTTTTTAAAGATTTATTTATTCATGATAGACATAGAGAGAGAGGCAGAGACACAGGAGGAGGGAGAAACAGGCTCCATGCCGGGAGCCCGACATGGGACTTGATCCCGGGACTGCAGGATCGCGCCCTGGACCAAAGGCAGGCGCTAAACCGCTGAGCCACCCAGGGATCCCCTGCGTTCTTTGAATTTTTATGACAATATTCAAATATTAGGATCTTAAAAATCTTTTTTTTTTTTTAAAGATTTGTATTTATTTATTTGAGAGAAAGAAATAGCGAGCAAGGAGGAAAGGGAGAAGCAGGCTTTCCACTGAGCAGGGAGTCTGACACAGAGCTCAAACCCAGGACCGAGCTGCGCAGGTGGCCCTAAAACATTAAAAAAAAAAAAAAAAAAAAAAAAAAAAAACCTCACTTAGAATCTGGTGGCCTTTGGTTCTAGGGCCAAAGAGCCCTGCCTCACTCACAGCCTCAATGGCCATTAAGAGGACACGGGAACGGATGTGGTGACCATGGGATGGGGTGGGAGGGTGGAGACTCAGAAAGTACCTGTGAGGGGCCCGTTTTCCTCTTGGCAAAACAACCCTGGAAGCACCCCACCCCCAGGCGCTTGGTTATGAGAAATCATTTTAGCAGGAGTCGTAATTGGAAGATGAAAGTGGAGACTTAAATTGCACATTGGCAGGAATTGAATACCCAATAGTAACTAGTTTACTTGACTATTAGAGGGTCTCTGTGGATGCGCTAAAATGTTGGCCAGCTGAAGTATGTAATGGGACTAGGTGTCCAAACTAGGGGTCAGGAACGAATCTAAAATCTACTCAGGTGTGGGGGCACCTGGGCGGCTCAGTCAGGTATAAGTGCCTTAGGCTCAGGTCATGATCCCAGGTTCCCAGGATTGAGCCCCGGGATCAGGATCGGGCTCCCTGCTTCTCCCTCCCGCTCTCCCTCTCTGCCTGCCACTCCTCCTGCTTGTGCTCTCTCTGTCAAATAAATAAATAAAATCTTCCAAAAAAAATGGTATATTTCCTGTTATGTATATTTCACCACAATAAGAAAAACACATAAAATAAATAGAAATTAAAGGGTGCTTAAAAGAGGTAAGCTTTAATTATCTCAACAGTTCTGCCACCCAGAAAGAGTCCCTCTGCACCCCTGGCCAGCCGGTGCTGGGAGCCTACAGGGTACCCGGAGCTGTCCCCAGCCCCCCAGTGCCTCCATCCTCCAGGGTCAAAGCCAGTGTTCTTAAGACCCAGGAGTAAGGTCTTCCCTAAGATCCCAGGGTACCTGAGAAGCTGCCCAAGGTGGGGAGAGGGCCCTGGCCAACCGCCTCTCATACCTGAACTAGGCTCCTCCTTACAGGTCAGCCTGGGAAAGGTTCCTTCTGCTAAAATATCTGGAGCCATCCGACCTTGGTTTTACTGTAATTATGGTAATGTCAGCATCTCTCTCTCTCACACACACACATACACACACACCCTGGGGGCTCTCCGCCTTCAAAGTGACATGGCAGTGGTGGGGAGCCAGGCCAGAAGTGGGGTTCGCATGTGCAGTGTCCATGGACCACACCACCCATCTGAGCTGGGTGCTTCATTCCTTTATTACCCAACTGCCTGATTTTTGTCTCCATCTTAGGTTCATCGTGATGATTATCCTGGGAGGGTTGGGGCCCTGGGGTCCAGGGGGCAAGGCCTCTGGAGAAGGGAGGAGGGGAGGGGAGGCAAAGAAGCTGAGCTGAGCCAAGTAGCTGAGCCAAGGGACAGCGTTCCCAGGGATGGGCCCTGTCCCGTCTCCCAGGACCAGAGCGGTTCATTCTGCAGCAGGGAGGCTAACCGCCCCCACCCCACCCCACCCCAGGCTTGTGAGGAGGCTGGAGGTGCTGGGAGGCCGTGGGGGGCTTCAGCAGAGAGCACAGGACTTACGCTAACAGCAGCGCCCGCCCAGCAGACACCAAGACTGCCGAGCCGCCCCATGAACCCTAAGTGACCTCAGGAAGTCTTCATGGACCAAACTGAAGGCACTTTCCTTTTTTTTTTTTTTTTTTTTTAAAGATTTTATTTATCCATTCATAGAGACACAGAGAGAGGGGCAAAGACACAGGCAGAGGGAGAAGCAGGCTCCATGCAGGGAGCCCGAAGTGGGACTCGATCCGTGGGACTCGATCCGGGGTCCCCAGGATCATACCCAGAGCTGCAGGCGGCGCTAAACCGCTGTGCCACCAGGGCTGCCCTGAAGGCACTTTCCTGATCAAAACCTAGCAGGGGTCATCCCTGGGTGGTGCAGTGGTTTGGCGCCTGCCTTTGGCCCGGGGCGCGATCCTGGAGACCCAGGATCGAGTCCCGCGTCGGGCTCCCGGTGCATGGAGCCTGCTTCTCCCTCTGCCTGTGTCTCTGCCTCTCTCTCTCTCTGTGTGTGACTATCATAAATAAATAAAAATTAAAAAAACAAAAACAAAACCTAGCAGGGATCGTCTTACCCTGTGAGCTGGTTTTCAATGTTAGATCAGCATGACCGCCAGCACGCCAGCGGTCAGCAAACACCTCACCCTCCCTCTTGCCTGGGAAGCTCACACACAGGGCGGGTGTGAGCACATCCCCTCACCTGGTCATTCTTTGCATTCTTTGGAGGACCTTCTACATCCTGGTCCTGCTCTGTAATACTCCAGCCCATATACTATGGGTGAGTGTAGCAGCTCACACTTGAGCAGGACAGGGCAGGGCGGGAAGACGGCCTGGTGGAGGAGGCCACGGTGGGCTCCCACCTGTCCGGTCACTCCCTTACCTGTGCTCCTACCAGTGGGGCCAAGCTCCATCCACAGAGGCCTCCTGGGCACCTGTTCCTGCCCTGCCATCTGCGGGCAAGGCGGCACAGGAAGGAGAGCTGGCCATTGGGACAAGGACCAAATGGGACTCCCAGCTCTCCTGTGACTTCACAGAATGTGGTCCCTCTTTTTCAAGAACTTCTCTGTCCATGACCTCAGTGGAGAGTGCAGGGCTCTTTAAAAATTGCACACATAGCTACTAGGCAGGCAAAACAGGCATTATTCCTATTTTATGAGGAGGAAACTGAGGCCAGAGAGGGCCCCTAACGTGGCCCAAGTCACCAAGGCGGCTGCATGGTGGCCACCAGGGGCGGCCGCAGGTCTCCTGACTCCCAGACCAGAGGCTCAGGCCCACTGGCTCAATATTAGCAGTGTGTGTGTGTGTGTGTGTGTGTGTGGCGGGGGGAGTGACAGATGCCACACAGGAAACTCAGCTAAGCCTGGAAACCCCCCCCCCCCCCGAGGGGCCATGAAGCCACCGTGGAAGGCAGAAATGGCCCTCCAGCACCATGGGTCCCTCTCCTTCAAAATCCCCTCCCATCCCTGTCCCATGCCAGACTACACATAAATCAGCTAGGGTACCTGTTAAGGACTTCACCAAACTGGGGGCACCTGGGTGGCTCAGTGGTTGAGCGTCTGCCTTTGGCTCAGGTCATGATCCCGGGGTCCTGGGATTGAGTCCTGCATCAGGCTCCCTGTAGGGAGCCTGCTTCTCTCTCTGCCTCTGTCTCTGCCTCTCTCTGTGAATAATTAAATAAAATCTTAAAAAAAAAAAAAAAGTCTTCACCAATCTGGGGTTCATCTTTTCTTTCTTTTTTTTAATGCTCAAGGTTTTGGAAACTTCCTAACTGGCTCACTGTCAGGGACAGGGGATGCTGCTGGGGGGCCCAGGCTTTACTGGCTGCCCTTCTGTATGGGGCAGGGGGCACTCTCCCCCAGACCTCTGCTTGCCCCTCGCCTCTTCGTGCTACCCGATTGCCAGGTGGATTTAGGATGAATGATGGGTGGCCAACAGTAGCACCAGGGAAGTCCTTGCCTGATGCCTGGTCAGACTGTACCTGGAGAGCCCGTCAGTAGCAGGCTGGTCTGCTGGGCTGTGTAACAGGGGGAGGTCTCTTCCTGCTTTCCTCATTTCTGAGCCGATTGCCTGGGATGTGTATCTCTTTCTGCATTAATGCTTATTCGATTAAAAAAACAACAACAACTTCTCTTTTTCTCCCTCCTTTTGTGGGGAGCTTTTCTGAGTTGGCAGGAGATTTTAGTTTTTTTTCCCCAACAAGGGTCTGCTATGTACCCCTACTGTGGCTTCTTAAAGACACTAAAACCTACTGTGGTGCAGAGATAAAGCAAACAGGAAGAAGAAGGTGGGGGGTGGGGTGGGAGGTAGGGACAGGGCAGGGTCCGATGGATGCCGAGGCTCCAGCCTTAGCACCACCTCTTCCCTCCAGGTGACTGTGTGTCCCACACCAGGGGGAAGCCTGTCACCCACGGGAGATACAATGTCCTCCTAAAGAGGCTCAGAGGACTGGGGAAGGGGAGGCTGCCTTTGGGAAAACTCAGAGGGAGCAGAGACCCGGGCCACAATTCAGGACAAGGACACTGGGTAGGACCCTGGCCTTATTCACGAAACCCCTACACAACACAGCAAGGGGCCTCTGAGCCCCATCACATAGGTCTTACTGGATCCATTCTGTCTTCCAAGGGGTATTAGGGCCTAAAAGTCACCTCTGGTGGCAGAAAGGCTTCAATTCTCAGTGAATAATTTAGTGAGCTACCAGAACAGCTCCTGTGTCCCTGGGTACTTTTGTCCCAGCCACGCCAGGGCTCAGGTGTGGTCCAGGTAAGCACAGGAGTAGGAAGGGAAAGCAGGGGACTGGGCAGCCCCGGTGGCTCAGTGGTTTAGCACTGCCTTCAGTCCGGGGTGTGATCCTGGAGACCCAGGATCGAGTCCCACGTCAGGCTCCCGGCACGGAGCCTGCTTCTCCCTCTGCCTGTGTCTCTACCTCCCTCTCTCTCTGTGTGCCTCTCATGAATAAATAAAAATCTTAAAAAAAAAAAAAAAGGAAAGCAGGGGGCTCTCATGGGCCCAAGGGGAAGGAGTAAGAAAAAGAGGGCAGGGGAAAGGATGAGGGGCAGACCCCCATGTCCTGAGGGCCCACCTCCAACAGTGTGCTCAGGGGCAATGGCTAAAAAACGGGCCAGCAGGTGTCCTGCAGGTAAAACCCTGAGAAAGCCGCACCTTCTCTAACCTTTCCTCTTCTGCCTCTGCCCTGCTCTGCTGCTCTGCCTGCTCCTTCTTACCCCCCTCTCACCCACCTGCCCTAACACGTGGCTCACCCAACCTGGCCTGGCCTGCAGGCCAACAGGGCCAATCCACCTCCAGGCCCACATGTACTCTCTGAAGGCTACCTGCCTGACCTGTCATGCAGGGGTCTCTGTGACCTGCCCCCTCCCTGCCCAGGAAGTTCTATGGAGTGATGGGTCTGGGGACAAGGCCCTGGTCACTTCCTCTTCCGGCACCTGGCTCTGGGCCCGGCCCTGCCCACACTGGGTCAGGCTGCAGCTGGAGGCGGGCCCTCAATGAGAGGCCTCTGGGGGTGGGGGTAGGGGGGCAGCTGCATGACAACTGCCAGATCACACAAAGCACAGATTGTGCCCTACAGCAGGTGGTGAGGTTTGGGGGCAGGGGAAGGTAACAAAGGGGCTTTGCTCTCAGCAGAATCCTGGGGGCAGGGAGAGGCACAGAGAGCAGCTGGGGTGAAGAGAAAGGCCGTAGATGGGAGGGGCAGCACAGGGACATGGCCCCCATCTCCCCACATCCTCCCAACCTCAGGCCCCTGGGACTTCTCCACCAGCCAAGCCATCTTCACAGATCAGACCTCAGGCAGGGAAGGGGGAGCTGATGGCACCTCACCCGTCCTTTGTCACTGCTGGAGCAGGGATGAGCCACACCAGGAGCTGGAGCTTGGAGGGGTGGCATCTCCCCAAACCCCAGCTGAAGGCCTAGCTCCCAGGCCCTCCTCAGTGGTAAGCTCCCACCAGGGCCACACCCAGCTCCTCACCACTCACCACTGCTCCCCTAGGCCAACAAGCCCCAGAGGAAACCGCGGCGGGGGTCCTCTTCCCAAAGCGCCCCTTCCACACAAGCTAACCCCCTTCGCCAGGATCTCAAGGCTACCATGCTCCCTGAATGGCCTATCTTTCTATTAACCACATCTTTCCCACCTCTCAGCCGGTCTGACCCCATCTGACCCCATCTAGTCTACAGTGCACAGCCCACGTGCCCAGCCTCCCTTGCCCCACATGCTCCAACCTGCCTGGCCCACTCCCAGCTTTCTTTCCCTGGGAGATCCTGTTTCCTGGGGGCAGGCACCATGTCTCATGTCCTTGCCCTGACCCACCATGCTGGCTCACACAGGTCAGATGCTCAAGGAAGACCCGAGATGGTGGCCAGAACAGCATTCGCAAGGCGGTGGCCCTGCTCAGGCTCCAGCCAGCCTCCACCCTGGGGGGATTCTCACTACCTAGAGGCAGAGGTTATATCTCTCCTAACCTCATTTTACTGGGGGGCCTGGGAGACTTCCCTGAGATCTTGATGTTGATCTAGCCATAGAAAGAAGGGGTGCTAAAAAAAAAAAAAGAAAGAAGGGGTTCTTGGCCAAGACTCCAGGATGGACAAGGAGAGAGCCACTGGCTCTGAGCACCACTGCACACACACCCAACACTTAGCAGGCATCGCACATTTCATCCTTCACAACCAATTAGGATCTGAGAAGTTAAGTCATTTGCTCAAAGTCACTCAATTAGTAAATCCTAGAGCCAGAACCAAACTGAGGTCAGCCTGCCCTTCTCACAGACGATGTCGCCTCCTAGAAGAAAGTACAGGACTCACCAAGCCCCTTACCCTACCCATATCCTTCATTTTCAAGCAC